ATTTCTGAAAGATCATGTGACACTGAACACTGGAGGAATGATGCTGAATTACATGAATAAATTATATATTTTTAAATATTGAAATAGAAAACAGTTCTTTTAAATTGTAATAATATTTCACAATATTGTTGTTTTTACTGTATTTTTGATCAAATAAGTGTAGGCGACTTTTTTTTAAACAGACTTTTAAAAAACAATGGTGTGTCTTCCTAAAACAGTGGTTATTTTCAGTAAACAAGTAAACAACCAAACTAATAAAAAAGCCTTAATTACACATTTCAGACCACCTAACACAACAATTATGGTTTCATTCCAAATTCCTTTTGCTATCTGGCCTTGAGCTTCACTGATCAATGTTATTTCTAGACTGTGTTTGTTCTAATTATATTGAAATGAACTACTGCTATTAATATAGTTAAAGACCCCAGATACGAAGTTGGACTGAACACTTAACGGTTACATTAAAAACACTTTATCGTAGAATTAATGTTAACACAATCAGTTAATTCGTTGTTATGAGGCGATTGATTAGTCGATTTATTTTTGTCACTTGCAATTACTTTGCATTTAGGGGTTTTTTTTTGTTTTTTTTTTTAATCAGCCAATCGTTGGCAGACTATTATTTGAGATATACGTTTCTCCAGATAGCACATTTGAAGACCAGCACAATGTAGATCTCATAGGTAAAACAGAAGAGGTACTGACAAGATGTTCACCCTCAGGGTTGAGACTGTTTAAACAGATTATTACATGGCAGCAGGCACCTTACACACACCTGTCCTCTCCTGCTGACCCATGCTCACACATATGACTGATATTTAGAATCCCTCAAGGCTGTGTTGCAGTGTCAGTTTTGGTCTGAGTGATTTGCAGTGACTCTGTGAACTCTATGATGTCAAAAACTTTCTTCAACTGTTTGCATAAGTCATACATCTTACATAAACACAGTGACATGATATCAAATGATAGCGCTTAACATAAGAAAACAGGTTTTGTAAGTGTAGTGTAGAAATACATAAAAAAATATTTTTAAAAACTAATAATAAATCATAAAATATATTAATTACAGTGCATTAATGGCCAATTTCAACATTAGTTGCAAAGTTAATCTCAAACCTCCTCATTCTTCATTTAACTGTGAATTATTTATGTGATTAAATCATTTATTATTCATTGTCTGTCATCATTAAATTGGATGCTTAAATTAGAACCAATAAAATATTTTATAATTTAATAATGGTCACTGACTATATAGTATTTAGCAACCTAATTATGCAAAGCATAATTAACAAAAATAAATTGTAATAAAAAGAAATTGTGCTCACAATTGTTTTTCATTTCTTTTTCTTTTTTACTTACCCTGTGTCTCAATGTCCATATCCATCCTAAACAGTACAACATAGTATGTTGAAAAGAGATGTCATAAGTCCCCAGATGGTATATTTTTCAGTAGATTTTTGAAGTGTGGATCCGTGCTCACTATAAAGTCTAATATTTCCCACCACCCTTTGCTCTTTGTACACTGTAAAAACACAACTTGAACAAAAAAGTTTTGATTTTGTTGTTTTTGTTGTGTTGGTTCAACTATGAAAATCTCGTAAAAAAAACAACAACAACAAAAAATTATTTATATATATATATATATATATATATATATATATATATATATATATACTCTTAGTACTAATTTCCTAATTTCTAAAAAGGGCTTTAAACGATTCCAGACGATGAATAAGGGTCTTATCAAGCGAAATGATCGCTCATTTAATAAATACATAACAAAGTTTAAGTTTTATAAGCTCAAATGCTCATCAAAATAAACAAAATGAACGAGTCATTTGGTGTATTCAACGAACGAAACAAACGAATTGACTCAGAAAAAGATTTGAAAAACAAACAAACAGGAAGACGTTATATATTTAATCAGGGCTGTTTGACTTTTTTACTGTACACATAATGGCATGGATGCATCAAACAAAGGCAAATATAAGAATGTCATTGCAGCAATATATTATTAACTTATCCCATACATTAAAGTGTTTAATACAGAGAAAAAGTGAGTAATCGGCTGGGCAGCACTCCTTATTTATTTAGGAGTAAAATATTCTTAAGTAAAAAAAAGTGAAACATTTATTGAATAAAAAGAACAACAAAAATAAGAGGGTGGATTTTATCCAACAGTTATTTATTGGACTTGAGTTTTATATGTCTGTGCTGGATTGTAAAAAGTGGTTAAATAAGGCTGATATTAATTCCATGGAGATTCCAAATATGTAGTAAAACTGAAGGTGATTTGACAGAATAAATGCCAAAAAAGGAACTTATGAAGAAGTCTTGAATTAATTTCCATTTTCCCCACTTCTAACACTCCGCAAGGTAATTATTATCAATTAGCTTTAGTCATTCCTTTCCTGTCTGTCAGCTATTTCTATTATTTCAGCACACACCAACCTGTTCTTGCTTTCTTTCTGATTCGGTGATCGACCCTTTAGACACACGCTTTGTTTCCGGAGTGTTTGTGTATTTTCACTCTAACCCTTCAGCTTTTCTTTTCACTCAGTCTCCTATCGACTTTCCTACTTCTCTTTATCAGCCGCCAATCGCTTTTAATGTCTCGAAGGAGTACTGTAGCAGGCATGCTGTCTCTTTCATCCCTCCAACAGACCTCCATTTTGTTAGATTTCACATCCGTTTTCCTTATTCTCTCAGGGTCTCTTGGGGTTAAGTGACATTCCCAAGGTCCCTGGGTCATATTACCTGCAGTAACCTTTTTGTCCTGTGCCACAAGGGTGAGCATATTAAGTTTTCATAATAGCATGAGACAGACATGGTGTATTGATTTAAAGAACAATCAATCATAAAACTTATTTGTCCAAGTTTCCTGATGACCAACTTTTGCTAAATGCTAAACTGTCATGTGATTCCTTTGCTTCATGTATTTTTATTATTATTATTTGTGTATCTTGTTAGTCACTGGTTTTTGTGTATATATAGTCTTCATATTCCTGTTGTCTAGATTTGTTTGTGTAATCTGCTGATGGTGAGTTCATGGCTCAAAGCACAAAGCCACGAACTTTGTTCAAGTCAAGACTTCTTTATTTGGTTTTCTTTCGTTTTATTTTTGTGATTGTTTGACACTTATTGTTAACACTTGTGTTATAAAACTGCATGGGTTCTCAAGTTCTCAACTAGGCACCATCAGACTTTGAAATGACTTAACATTTTTTAAACACATACCAAAATGAACACATCTGGTATACAGTTGTGTAATGCATCAACAGTTGATAAGTGGTGGTAACCACTTGTTGAGTTAAATTTGCAATGTGTTGAGGTCATGTGACAAACGCTTTAAGATCATGTGATCAGAGTGTGTGTGTACCTGGTAAACCCTGAATTATGGGGACCAGTTGTTCCCTTTAGTTTGTAAATGTATTCTACAGGTTATTTAGCACATTACTGAAGAGTGTTGAAATAGAGGTTAATAGAATAGATAGATCGACAGACTAACGGATGGATAGATAGATACAAATGGGCGGAATGACGGACAGACAAACGGATGGACGTAACACAGTCTCATCCCAAGAAGTCTTATGGACGGATGGATGGATGGATGGATGGTGTTGTCACAACTGACATTTTTTATCTTTCATACAAAATCTTGAGAAAGATTGATATTTGATACAACAGGGAAAGCTGCCATATAGGCTATATACTGCCAGATAATTTGGGTGATTTTGTTGTTATAGCTTTCAAACAGCCCAGGGAGGCTTTATATATTTTTTTTATATTAAAGAAGACAAGTAAACAGTCCGAAATGAACATAGGCTATTGCAAACAATAGCACAGATACATACAATAAAAATAAACAGACAAATGAAATAAACATGGCTTCATCTAAAAGAGGTATTTGGGAAAGACATATAGGCCCACTACAGAAATTAAAGTCATCAAATGTAAAATAAATAGTATACTGCAAAATGTTTAGTGTTTTTGCAGGTATTCATTGGGATATTCCAGCTGAAAAAAGTCCAGCTAATACCAGCTTGACCATCTTACAAGAAAAGGTTCTATCTGCACTATGTATTTGGAACTCCTAAAAGGTATACAGAACCCTTTTGAAGGGTTTAATTATAAGAACCCTTTAGGGTTCTTTGTAACCAGGAACAAGCTTATATGGAACCTTTTGGGTTCATTCATTATCATTTGTTTTGTCCTTTCCAGAATAAATATTTCATATTAATGACAAACATCAAAACCCTAAAATGTATTTATGAATGCATGTGAATGTTAAAAAAAATTCAAGATGTGGGTTAAAAAATGTATATATTTCTATCATTTTATGTAATTCAATATCAATTGAAGAGTGCCATTTGAGTTTTTCTCCAACATTTTTATTTAATTACAACTACAAAATATTGCAGAATAATATATGGATGAATAATAGCCTATAAAGAATATTTGTGCCTAAAGGATTCTGTCTTGTCATTATAAAACCTTTTTTTAGCATAAAAGGTTCTTTGGAGTTAAGTAAACAACCAATGAACCCTTTTTTTAAGAGTTGTGGATTTTTTCAGCAGGGATTACAGGGAAACTCAATTACTTTAAGTTACTGTAAAATAAAACTTATTTATTGTGAAATACTGGTAATTTCTAACAGTGTAAGCAAATCATTAATTCATCATTAATGGAATTATTAAGGAATAGGAATCGTTAAGTGACAAAATCCCCTTCCCCATACCGGAGACACGCTTGGTAAATGCTTTACTGTTACAACCAGTCATACAAATCAGGCACAGAATCTGTTTCTAAACGTTACGAGTTCCTGTCCTTGGTGCTGAACAAGCACTAACACTGGGACTGGGCAAAGAAACCAAAGCGCATTGAAATCACTGCGCCTGTGCTTCTTTCGTCAGATAATCATTTATTCGCACCCGTGCTCACGTGCTAGGTCACCATTTCCGCACTATCTTTTAGTTTCAACTGAGTTCAGTTCCCCTATCGTACTCTGAGTAATGATGTGTCCCGTTTACCTCTTACCAAGCTCAAAGTCACAAGTTTCTTCCATCCGCGCTGACATAAAGCCTGTTTGTGTGCATGTAGAGGAGCAGCGCTTCAGGCGGAGGCATGCATGCTTACTGGCAGTGAGCCGTGAAGATCTACCCCAATAACGCCCACTCTCCAGCATGCTCCAAGACGAGCAGACGCTTCGTGTGTATTTGTCTTCTAACTCACCCCTCTATCAGGATGATATTGCAAGAGGGTTCCTTATCGAGGATCTACTCCTCTGACGGATTGGATTGTCCTGTATTTCAGCAGCATTTGGATATGTATTCTTTATTGCAAGGTGAAACTGAAAAGCCAAGGAAACTAGATATCTGATTCGACGCACCTGGGAAAGGGTCGAGCGCGAGAATGGCAACTAATTTTGCGAGAAAGCAAAAGTAACGGCAAATTGTATCGCGTAAAGAAAATGAAAGCCTCTTGTTTTTTTGGTGCACATTGTGAAGAACATTAAGGTACTGTGCAACCGTACCGAGCCTGTCTGAAATTTTCCCCGGGCTTTAATTAGAGCTATCCCACCCTGTCCTCACCAAACGACCACCGGCTGGCACTTTACACCGGAGGACAAGGAGCATCGCAGAGGAAAGGTAAGCTTTTCTGGATTGTTGGAAATAATTGACTGTGCAGCACAAACTATTTCTCTCTGTTCGGTTTGGTTTGCACGTTTTTGCCGATCTTTTGATTTCAGATTAATCTCAAGACGACTATTATTATAAGTAGTGTGATGTGCGTCCCAGTGCAGATCTCGATGTGTTTCTTTCAATGCTGAGTAATGGTCAGCAATGCACCAGAGCCACGATTCTCCCCATCGTGAATTTGATAGCTCACTTTCTCCTTTTTATTTGCATATGCAATTACTTGAATGTTCGCTTCGGTGCAAGGACTTAGGTAAAATGGTGGTATGAAATGATGCGAAATTGTCGATATGCTTAGTCCTAATGTTAGGGTTAGGGTTGTGGGTTAGTTCTGCCTGACAAGATATTTGCACACCCTGATAGGGTTTTCTGCATGACAAGATGTTCAGCAGTTTTTTTTTCTCTCCTTTTCTTGATGTTTTAGCATTTTAAAGATTACTAAAGGTATTCAATACATCAGACCTCTGGTACAACACTAATTTAATTTAACAGCAAAGATGTGTCCAGTTACCAGGGGAAAACAATATTCTGAGTCACTGTTATTTGTCTTCAATGTGCATATAGATTTCTTGACATTTCATTCTAATGCAAAATGTCCTGCGAGAATCATCATGAAGCCATTAGGTGGCATGTGTCATTGTTGATTCATGATGCATTAACCAGCACTGTTCTACATTAGTTCAAAAATACATTTTAGTGTTGTTCTAACCCTCCTTACTTGTCTCTTCACAACCAAAGACCAATTGGAGGAGTTTTGAATGTCAAGTTGCAAAGCTCATGTAATGTCTTATTCTTGTCCACAGGTAGGGGGTGTAGATGCATGCATGTTCTGTATCGCCTATAGCTCATGTAGCCTGAAAACATTTGAGTCACGTTAGGTGCAGGTGGTTATTTCATAACCGGTCTTAATTCAATCCGTATGTGCTGTTAGCAAACATACGTTTCTCTTTCCCTTTAACGTCCTTCACCGTCCAAGTTGTGTTTCTTTTGTGCCATATTTAATTTGACGATGATATGCGAATATACATATTCTCACTTAGTATTAATATATTAGTCTGTTGTATTTTTTCTAGAATAACCACATCTCCCTTGTAAGATATTGGATGATGGATGATTGGCGAGGTGACACTCAAATATAACATGGCAGGACAAATGAAATGCATGCGTGTTGTACAAATCTCAAGAGCTGTATTTGGGACCAGCACGTCCTGTTAATAGGCACATGGCACTGATTTAGGAGTCTCCATTTAACTGTGAGAAATCTGGTTAATCTGGTTTTGCTGCATCTGTCACAGGGAACACAGTATGGCTATTTTCTGTCTGCTGCATCATGATGCATTCCCTGTTGCGTGAAATGAAGATGTGACTTTTGAATTAGATTGCTTTGCAAGATTTTTTTTACAGCATTTTAGAGTTTCTGCTAGTGTCAAAAGAGCAGTGTGAACACACATGGCCGAAAAGGGCTCACTAAAAAAAGCTTAAAATGGCACTGATTGGACTTCTGAGCTTTTTTTCCTTTCTGAGCTTTTCGGTGTCCAAATGACTCGGCTCGAAAGGGACTGTTTTTGAGCAAAAGATCTTCTAGAGAAATAGTAACGTCATCCGCATTCCTCCAACTGAGCTGTGCAAATCTAATGGTTTTGAGGGGGAAATCAGCCGTGCCTTTTTTAATGTAATTATAAGTTATTTATGTACTTATTTAAGTTATTCGTCATTTGTTTGCACATTTATTTACTTATTTAATCATTAGTTGTTTATGTGATACTGAAGACTGGAGTAATGGCTGGAAAAAAATGCAGTGTTGACATCAGAGGAATACATTACAGTTTAGGATATATTAAAATTAGGACCGGGCAATGATTAATCGTGATTAATCGCATCCAAAATAAAAGTTTGTGTTTAAATAATATATGTGTCTGCAGTGTTTATACATATTTTGTGTATATAAATACACATACATGTATATATTTAAGAAAAAATGTGTTAATATATCAAATATTTATATATAATATTAATTCTGTATATACATGCAAATATTTCTTAAATATATACATGCATGAGTGTGTGTATATATATACTGTATATAATAGTTATACACACCACACACACATATATTATGTAAACACAAACTTTTATTTTGGATGCGATTAATCGCGATTAATCGTTGCCCAGCCCTAATTAAAATTTAAAACCAGTGTCTTAAATTGTAGTAATATTTCACAATACTACTGTTTTTACTGTATTTTGAACAGAGAATCACTATCATTTTAATTACCAACCATGATTTTGAAAAAAAAAGAAAAAGATCTATTTAATTTTCCAGATACTTGGTTACACTTAAGTTTAGGAGTCCAATTCTCACTATTAACTAACTATTAACTATGGATTTTGCCTCAATAAACTCCCAATTACTGCTTGTTAATAGTTAGTAAGGTAGTTGTTAAGTTTAGGTATTGGAAATGATTAATGGATGTAGAAAATCATGCAGAATAAGACATTACTTTAAAGGGATACTCCACTTTTTTTGGAAATAGGCTGCTTTTACAAGTTAAACAGTTGGGTTTTACCGTTTTCGAATCCTTTCAGCTTATTTTTGATATTTAGAAGAATATCAGTAAGCAGACAGTTTCTGGTCTCATTGACTTCCATAGTAGGAAAAAAATATACTATGGAAGTCAATGAGGCCAGAAACCTTCATGCTTACTGATATTTTTCTAAATATCAGAAAATCGGCAGAATGGATTCGTAAAACGGTAAAACCCAACTGTTTAACTCTGAGGGAGTTGTAAAATGAGCCTATTTCCAAATAAAAGTGGAGTATCCCTTTAAGTACTAATAATCAGTCAATATCCTAGTAATATTTGTGCTAATAAGCAACTAGTTCATAGAGAGAATTGGACCCTAAACTCAAGTCTTACCAATACTTCTTTAAAATTGGATTTCCACATCAACTGTAACCGTTTTACGTTAGTCAGCTTTACTAAATGTAATTTAACCACCGGTTGTTGTGTAATTCCATAAGTGCCAAGTGCGTTTGAGAGGAATGTTTCCGATTTCTCGTTTTCCCTCTCCTTCTCTGCCATCCATCATGAGCCAAATCGCACACCAAATATGCAGACGAGGCCGTATTCCGAGTGAGCTCAAGATCGAACACTCCATCCCGGGCTTTTCAAACAGACTGTCATATTTTCAGCAGGTGGTAGGACCAGGGTGCACACACTCCAATCTCCAGGGAGAAAGATAGAGAGAGAGTGGGCTCACTGTGAAGCAGAGTGGTGCTCAGGGATGATTGCAATGGAAGTAGAGTGCAGGGGCAAGGAAGAGGAAGAGGAAGACCCCCCCCCCCCCTCTCTCTCTCTCCTTCTCCCTGTGGTGCAGAGTTCTGTATTAACTAGAGGCAGTGATGAGTGGGGTCTGCAATTACCCTCAGGCCTCCGTCACGCCACAGAAGCCTCGTCTTGCGGCTAATTGCTCCGATGTATTAGCCTGTGTGTTGCTCTTCTATTACTTATTACTCTTCCTCCTCCCACTCTGCCGGCGAACACGCTAAATGAACTCTCGCCACTTTTGAGTTGATGCCCCGACAACAGACTTTTCGCCAATGGAGCTTAAACGGCCAGACGTGTAATTTTCCAGTTGATCTGGTCTGGAAGCCAACACGGACACACAATGCGGGCAGCGAGATGGAGGCGAGGCTGTAATGCCGAAGCGGAGTAAAGGATGGAGGAGGTCAGGCCTGTTCTTCCATTATGTTGTAAGCACATCAATATTCTGCTTAAACATTTCACACCTCAGCAAAATCAATGGCTTTCTGCTAGACCTGAGGAGGCTACTAAAGCTTGTGGGCTTTAAAGGCTAATGTGTTTATCTTTGGTATTAGCGACAACTCACTGCTACTAATTTTTGTCCGTCTTGTTTTATTGTAAGAATGTGAGTCAGCGATCAGACTGTCCTTGAATTCATTTTCCTTTAACGTCGGATAGGAGGCCAGCAGATCCTGGACCAGCAACTGTTACTGCCCACCAGAAAGCTGGCAAAAAGGTTGAAATCCATAATGAAGGTGCAGCAGGCAGAGCAATGAGAAATTTGACTTTGGTTACGGTTTTTGATGAAGGTCATAATAAACGAGGGGAAGCGTAGTGTCATTCTGCAGACATTTCTATTTGGACGGGGTTACATTTCTCAGAGGACCCTGAGTTAGAGGGGGGCAAAAAGTAGGTGATTTGCTATTTTTTTGGAGTGTTTGAGAAAAAAAAGGATTTCAGAGGATTAAAATCACAAAGTATGTCTGAAAATACAAATTAACCTGACCTCCTCAGGGAAAAATAGTCCCGTCCAAAAAAGGGCTTAAGAACAAGAGCTTTCACAGTATGCAGTTACCACTGCTCTCACTGGAGTACTCATATTTGGAATAATACAAGGATTTGGCAGTTACATTTTATATCAAACCAGTTATAATCAGGATCCAAAATTAGTCATACCTACTAATGGCAGGCGAATAGAGAAAATGTGGCGTACTTTTTTTTTTTCATAATAATAATTAATTCTATGTTTATTTTAAATAATATGTATTGTAATTATTTTCAGTCTAAATTATTCCCGGTTCAGGCCGAAGTTATGAGGTTTTACCGGCAGTCTGGGGTTTCAATGAAGTTTAGTCACAAGCTCTTTTTAAGGTTTTTTATTCGTTATAGCCTATTTGCGAAACCGACAGACAGAGGTAAATTGTGACCAATAGCAATGATATACGAATAAAAATGACAAAATATAAAAATTCAAGGTTTACACCAGGCAGCGATGATGTGATTAATCATAATTCAATTTATTGTTCATCCTTTCCCTATGTAATCGTTTTGCTGTTTGCTAATTTTCCCTATACGGAGTATATTTTGGTGAAGAAATTGAACCTCTTACAAAAACAGATGTGATTTTAATCCTCATATTTGATCTTT